ACAAGAGAGTCTCAGCCTTGCCTGTGATCCTGCCCCCCACTGGATTGTAACCCCCCGCTCCAAGAACTTCTCTGTTGGTGCTTGTCCTGAAAAGGTATAGGACAGGAGTATGAAGTATGTGGCTGCAGTTGGAAAACTGTTCACAATCAATCAGCATTATCTAACATATCCAGTGATGGGGGAATCTTCTGACGTACGTTCTGTACCCCTAATATAGGGGATGACAGAACCCCCTGCCATTTACAGCTTTTAAAGAGGAAGCTCAAATTATTTATTTACTTACTTATTTATTTATTACATTTATACCCCGCCCATCTAGTCAATTGACTACTCTTAGCATTCCGTGTACAAATAATGGTGGTCCTTCACTCCCAGCTAAAATAATTGGATGACTTTACTCCGTACCACTTGAAATTTTATCTGGTTTTCTGGTTTATCTTCAAGCACAGCCTGGTTTAAAAAAAAAGTACATTTCTCCCTTCAGGATTAAGAGTGCTAGACCTGGCCTGTGTAGTTCAAAATCCATGTTAACTTCTATGCCCTCTAATCCTCCCCCTGCCATGGAGCAGGACACTGCTGTAAGCTCCTTCAACTTCCATCGCCCTGCTCAGCACCTCCTGGCACCCTCCTCAGCACCATGCCAGGAGAGGAGGGTGGTCGAGAGGGCCATTGTCATCCAATCAGGGGCTCCCATGCCAACAACAACAGGGCCTGGGTAAGTCTGGGACCCACCTTTCTAAATCTGTCTATAACCAAAACCAGACTGATCTTACCCGTGCAATTCAAGGGAGAAGCATACTGTCCTACATATGACAGAAGCCAAGCCTAGACAGTCTTGACTAATTGGGATTATTGGGAGCAATGTAATATATAGTTATTCTCAAATATATTCTGTAGTTAAACCTAACAACAACCCTGAGTCAAGTCACCAGTGCTGCTTCAGTCCAACTTGACATCAAGTCCCACGACTCGATGTCTCCATCCGTAGTCTAAGGTATTTAAAGATTTATTTGGGGTTCTATCCAGGACTACAGTGGCAATGTCTTTTATATTTTTGGTGTGGAATGGATCAGGAAGGTATCAAATTCCATGCTTCAAAATATATACTGTATATATACAGTATATAATAGAAAATGCCAAACTGTACCAAGTTGAGATAAATCAATTAATTTAACCTGTTTTGCTCTGGCTATATAGAAGTATGGCCAGTTGAGAAACTGCCTGCAACCCAGGCCACTGCTGTAGATTTAACTGTGGGTGGGTTTTTGGCTGGCCCTTTAAGGCGAAGCAAAGAAAAAAAATTACTTTAATTATAACTGATGCAGCACATCAGCAATAGTCTAGAACAGTGGTTCTTAACCTTTGTTACTTGGATGCTTTTGAACTGCAACTCCCAGAAACCCCAGTCAGGACAGCTGGTGGTGAAGGCTTCTGGGAGATGCAGTCCAAAACTCCTGAGTAACCCAAGGTTAAGAACCAGTGGTCTAGAATAATAATAATAAAAAAATTCACCTCCCCTCACTTCCCCTGTCCTCTGCCAAGCAAGGGAAGTGATTAATTTGCCTATATCCTGAAGTGGCTTGCTCATTAAGCCACTTCACCAAATTTGCAAATTAAAAGAGGAAGTCTTCTTTGGGATCCGTTCCTGCGATCCCACACGCTGGAACTGATCCAAACCCAGACCGATCCTCCCTATACCAGACAACCAGGTTATGCTGTCAGGGATTTTTGGGTGCTGAAGTTTAAAAAAAGTAACCTTTTTATTTATGAGTCCCACCACTGTCGTATCATCCGCAAATTTAATAATTGCATTGGTGTTATATAGTGGGGTGCAATCATGTGTGTACAGGGAATAGAGGAAGGGACTTAGCACGCAGCCCTGGGGAGCTCCTGTACTTAGTACCAGGGTAGAAGAATGGTGGGATCCCATCCTTACTGACTGTGGCCTATCTGTCAGAAAATCCTTTATCCACATGCAGATCTCCTGAGGTAATCCCAGGTTGATCATTTTTAAAAACAACCTATTTGGTAGAATGGTGTTAAAAGCAGAGCTATAATCCACAAACAACAGCCTCGCATAAGTTCCCTGTTGTTCTAAGTGGCTCAATACAGTATGGAGTACGATGGACACAGCATCATCAGTAGATCTATTTCTCCTGTATGCAAATTGCCATGGATCCAAAGAAGGTGGAAGACTAGCCTTAATGTAATCCAGCACCAATCTCTCAAAACATTTCATAATAACAGATGTTAAAGCTACTGGTCTATAATCATTGGGAGATACCACAGCTGACTGCTTCGGGACTGGCACTATACCCCGCCCACCTAGTCAATTGACTACTCTTAGCATTCTGTGTACAAATAATGGTGGTCCTTCACTCCCAGCTAAAATAATTGGATGACTTTACTCCGTACCACTTGAAATTTTATCTGGTTTTCTGGTTTATCTTCAAGCACAGCCTGGTTTAAAAAAAAAGTACATTTCTCCCTTCAGGATTAAGAGTGCTAGACCTGGCCTGTGTAGTTCAAAATCCATGTTAACTTCTATGCCCTCAAATCCTCCCCCTGCCATGGAGCAGGACACTGCTGTAAGCTCCTTCAACTTCCATCGCCCTGCTCAGCACCTCCTGGCACCCTCCTCAGCACCATGCCAGGAGAGGAGGGTGGTCGAGAGGGCCATTGTCATCCAATCAGGGGCTCCCATGCCAACAACAACAGGGCCTGGGTAAGTCTGGGACCCACCTTTCTAAATCTGTCTATAACCAAAACCAGACTGATCTTACCCGTGCAATTCAAGGGAGAAGCATACTGTCCTACATATGACAGAAGCCAAGCCTAGACAGTCTTGACTAATTGGGATTATTGGGAGCAATGTAATATATCGTTATTCTCAAATATATTCTGTAGTTAATATATATACAGTGGTGCCTCGCTAGATGATGATAATCCGTTGCACTGAAATCGCTGTTTAGTGAAATCATTGTCTAGCAAAAAGCATTTCCCCATTGGAATGCATTGAAACCTGTTTAATGCATTCCAATGGGGAAGAATCGTCGTTGTCTAGCGAGGATCGGCCATAGGAAAGCCGCTTTGCGAACCGCCGATCAGCTGTTTAAATCGCTGTCTTGCAAAGCTTAGGTCCCGAAAACACCTGTTTTGTGAGCGCGGAGGGAGCTGTCAGAATCGTCGCCTAGCGAAAATAGGTTTGCGAAGCAGGGACCAAACATTATCCAACAAAATTTCCCTTTAGGAATCACTGTTTTGCGAATCGCTATAGCGATTGCAAAAAGCCAATGCCTAGCGAAAAAACTGTCATGCGGGGTAACCGTCTAGCGAGGCACCACTGCATATTATTTTATATGTAGTTATTATATTAGAGCATTAATGATCAGTTGGACCCTTCAAAACAGTAACGAAGGATCCACCTGGGAATTAAGACTCTAAAATAAAATTGGAAGGCCATGTTGGCTGGAGGATTCTGGGGGTTGTGCTCCAAAAAAGGAACTCTTCCAAGCACCGTTTCAGATATCACTTCATGTCTCTCTCTTTTTTCTTTTTCTGTGTGGGCTTTGCAGAAAAAAACGAGGCTGATCGGCAGGCGGAAAAGCGGGAAATAAAGCGAAGGCTTACGAGAAAGGTATTGGCACGCTGGAACTGATCCAAACCCAGAGCGATCCTCCCTATACCAGACAACCAGGTTATGCTGTCAGGGATTTTTGGGTGCTGAAGTTTAAAAAAAGTAACCTTTTAAGTCTCCTGTCAGGATCCATTTTTCCCTAGCATAGCAGGCTCTGTTACTGACGTGTGTCACATGGAATTTCTGTCTCTCCCTTTCAGCTTAGTCAGAGGCCTACCGTCGCTGAACTGCAGGCAAGGAAGATCCTGAGGTTTAATGAATATGTTGAAGTAACAGATGCTCAGGACTATGACAGACGAGCAGACAAGCCGTGGACAAAACTGACCCCTGCTGATAAGGTAAAAGGGAAAATGTTGTTGGCATACCCTACTTCAGAGATGGCGAACCTATGGCACGTGTGTCACATCTGGCACACGAAGCCCTTTCTTCTGGCATGCAAGTGAGCGGCTCACCCACCCACCCTTGTGGAAACAAACCTTTTGAAGTGGCTGCAGCTGGCATTCCCCCTTTCTCTTCCTGTTCTGGGTCCCTTTAACTTCCTGTCCGTCCCCATGATTCCCTCTTTGACTTCCTGTCCATTCCCATGATTCCCCCTTTAACTTCCTGTCCATCCCCATGATTCCCCCTTTAACTTCCTGTCCATCCCCATGATTCCCCCTTTAACTTCCTGTCTGTCCCCATGATTCCCCTTTAACTTTCTGTCCATCCACATGATTCCCCCTTTAACTTCCTGTCCGTCCTCATGATTCCCCCTGAAATTGCCACTTCCTGTTCCGGTTCTAGTCTTCTGGGCAGCACGGCAGCCACTGGTTTCTTCCCCACCCCCTCATTTTGGGCACTCGAGCCAAAAAAGGTTTGCCTCCACTTCATCTCTCTACATGCCTATACATCCCTGTCTTCACTACCTGCAGCTTCACTACCTACATCTTCCCTATGGCTAAGGGTCATGTGTGTGTGTGTGGGGGGGATACTGGGTGCTATAGTCCAAAAAAGGAGTTTTTTCCAACTTCTGGATGTTATCCATCACTTCCTTCAAAATACCTTTTTTCTTTTTTGGTGCAATCTCTTAGACTGGGGTGGGCAACCTGTGACTTACAGGCCATACATAACCCGCTGTTTTGTGCCTGCCCTTGGCTTCCCTGTCAGTAACAAACCAGCAGTGGCACCAGAAGAGGCCATTTCTCCTCCTCTCCTGGACCCTGACAAGACTCCGTGGTGCAAGGAAGCGCTCTGCCACTTTCCTACACCATAGAAAGTCACTCCACTTGTCGCTGAAAGCCACAAAATCACTGGCCTTCGCCAAACGGCGTGGGTCCGGTGTAGCTCTCCAACCCCTAGAGATGGTCCACACCATTCGTCATCCCTAGTTGTAACCCATAGAAATATTTACATTTGAAATGTCCCTGCCCTGCCAGCACTTCCTTCCTTCTCTCTCTCTCTCTCTCTTTAAGATATTAGAATAAAGTGTAAGCTTTCTACTGCAGAAGCTTAACTACTTATAGGTTGTGAACCAAGGATTAGAATGTATGGTCCTCCCAGATATTGTTGGATTACAAATTTCCATCATTCTTCACCATTGTCTGCTCTGAGTAGGACAGATGGAAGCTGAGGTCCAGTCACACTTAAGGATGCCAGATGGGTCATCAGAGGTGGCCTGCTTATAATGAGGGCAACCCGCATAGTTAGATGAAAAGCAGATGAATCGCAGTATTTGTACTTAAAGAGGCTCTACCTCCTGCTTAAGAAAGTGAAGGCATATACAAAAGCAGGAAGGTGTCAGCCTAGTGAGATCAATGACGAGTTAATTCCTGCTTTGGGGCAGGGGAGCAAAGGGATGTTGGGGGTGGCTGGCTTCCATGGCCATCCTATGGCTTCATCCCTACAGTAAAGCATCATACGCACTGAAGAGATAGTGCTAGTGGGTAGTGATGAAAAGTTATAAAAGCAAGCAGAAAAGAGCCTTCTCGGTGGAAGCCCTTCCAGCAAAGTTCCACCTGGCATCCTTGTTAGTAATATTTCGATGGCCTCTCCTCTTGCAGAGCCCATCAGTCATTGACGTATCATTTTGTGTTTGCAAGCGTTTCACTGCTAGTTCTTAACGTTTTGACATTTAAACATTTTGACTCTTAACTGACCTGATGGATTTGTTTTTAATTGTCAAATCTATTGATGGGTTGCTTTTTGAAAAAGGGCAGCTGAGTGCTGTAAATAACCCCCAAATCCCTGAATACAAGTGATACCTCGCTAGACGATAATCCGTTCTACTGAAATCGCTGGTTAGCGAAATCATTGTCTAGCGAAAACAGACAACCAGGTTATGCTGTCAGGGATTTCTGGGTGCTGAAGTTAAAAAAAAGTAACCTTTCAGGTTTCCTATCAGGATCCATTTTTCCCTAGCATAACAGGCTCTGTTACTGACGTGCATCATATCGAATTTCTGTCTCTCCCTTTCAGCTTAGTCAGAGGCCTACCGTCGCTGAATTGCAGGCAAGGAAGATCCTGAGGTTTAATGAATATGTTGAAGTAACGGATGCTCAGGACTATGACAGACGAGCAGACAAGCCGTGGACAAAACTGACCCCTGCTGATAAGGTAAAAGGGAAAATGTTGTTGGCATTAGCGAAAAAACTGTCATGCGGGCTAACTGTCTAGCGAGGCACCACTGTACTATTTGATGTTCCTGTCCAGTTTTTCTGCAGCCGTTGACACCCCCGCTTAGAACCCCACCATAAAATAATGGAGCCGCCAGAGATCCAGTCTTTCCTGCCAGGCGTTTCCTCCTTCCTTCCATGGGCTCCCTCGAGTCTCCAGCCTGGGTTCTTTTCTTTCCTTGCTCCTTACTGATCAGAGAACACCCAAAGTGTTCAAGAGGAAGGGTTGCACAATGGCTTAAAGAGGGTTATTTGTGATTGGAAGGTGGAAGCAAAGCAAAAACATTAAGCTATAGGAACACCTTCTACAACGGCAGTCAAGGCTGGAAATCACCATATATAGAGAGAGAAAGAGGATGAGGATACTGACAGATGAGTTTGCTGAGCACTGTCTGCCTTCTCCCCGCACAGGCTGCCATTCGAAAGGAACTGAACGAATTCAAAAGTTCCGAAATGGAAGTCCATGAAGAAAGCAAGCAGTTCACACGGTAGGTACAAGGGGGATATCTGCCTGTCCTTAGACACAGCATGGGGTTGAGGGATCTGTGATCGTCCAGATCCTGCCAGCCCTAGCCAGCAGGGCCAATAGGTAGAGATGAGAAGGATCATTCAGCATCTCGGATACCATAAGATTATAGGTGGTTTGTTGCGTTTCTACTCCTTTCTTTTGTTTCTGTGCCATTGGACAGTGGCTAAACTGCAGTTAAGAATCTTCATATGACTGAGTTCGATCGCAACAGACTCAGGTGGCTGGCTCAAGGTTCACTCAGCCTTCTGTCCTTCTGAGGTCAGTAAATTGAGTACCCAGCTTTAAGCACTATGGGGTGATCGATAAGCAGCATGCTTGCTATCTCCTCTTAAATTACAGGCATTGGGTCCTTCCTCATGTACTAGGATGTGGACACAAAGCATCCCATTGTGGATTCCTTGTTTCTCTAAAGACACCCATTCTCATCCGGTGTCAAAAGCTTAGCAGTCTCAGGCATGGTTAGTGCTTATGAAGGCTCTCCAATCAGGGCTAAAAAATTGAAATCCCGTAAAGTTGCTGCCAGTTGGAGTGCTTGGCGGTCCTTTGTTTAAAGAGCTGGTGATAAATTCCAGGCTACTGGCTGAGTTGTTCAGAATCTGAAATCTCTAGTTTGAAATCACACTCTCCCTGGACAAGCCTTTTGCAAACTGCATCTGTAGTCCATCTAAAGAAGCTTGTCTGGCCCCAACAACAACTGCCAGGACACTTTGGGACTGTAATAAAAGTATATCATTTTCTGTACTACCCATAAGAACTTGGTGCACAGCCTGAGAAAGAGGAATTATCATCGAAAGCTTGTTGTCTGTTTGCTTAAGTTTTTTTTTCCTTTTTTAGTGGTCTAATAAAGGTATCCCCTGCTCCTGCATTTGTATTCATTTCTGAATTTATTTATTTTTTTTAAAATACTCTTTAACAGGAGGTGAGTGTTGCCTAGCAATACAATACACAAAGTTATCGACTTAAGTGTTGCACAGATACACCTAATTGCCGATCCAGAGGTTGGGAGTTCAATTCCGCCCACTGGGCCTCCTTGATAGGGGATGGACTCCATGATCCAGAGGGTCATTTGATCTAAGTTGATGATGATGTTGGAGAAGTAACAGTTTTGAAAGACAGCTCCCAGCATCTGAGAGAACAGCCCAAATCTATTTTGTAGAATTTTCCATCACAAAGCTTATTATCTAGCCGACTAGAGTGGCCTTTTAGGCCAGATGGGCAGGGTATAAATCAATCAATCAATCAATCAATCAATCAATCAATCAATCAATCAATCAATCAATCAATCAATCAATCAATCAATCAATCAATCAAATAAATAAATAAATATTAAATGAGGCTTGTGTGTGACATGAGCTTATTTTAATAAAAGATAACTTTTCTCACCTCTGCTTCAAAGGGCAATTGTCACCCTTTTGCTCTGAACTTATGGATCCCACCTGATTTTGGAAGCGAAGTACAGTGGTGCCTTGCTTACTGATCGCTCCATTGAGCGACGAAATTGTTTTGTGATGTTTCCTATGGGGAAAAATTGCTTTGCGATGATTGCGCGGAAGCAATCATCGCAAAGTCCCTGTTTTTGGCAAGCTGGTCAGCGGTTCCAAAATGGCCGCCAGAAAAACAAAATGGCGACCGCTGTTTTGCCTCGCTTTAGAGGCACCCAAAATGGCTGCCGCAATGGAGGATCTTCACATAAGGTCAGTTTTGAAGCCCATAGGAACGCATTAAAACACGTTTTAATGTGTTTCTATGGGCTGTTTAAAATCGCTTAGTGACGAAATCCCTTAGCGACATTTTTCCTGGAACAAATTAACGTTGCTGAGCGAGGCACCACTGTAGACTAAGGCCTAGTTACTACTTGGAGAACAGGCCATCCACTGGTGAACAGCAGTAATCTCTGGGGATCCTGTCAAATGCCCTGACAAATTAGGGTTGACAATTCTGGATGAACCAATGGTACTACTTTATACTACAGCCTCCTACCTTTCTGTCATCCCTCAAATATCATATAATACCATATAATTTCTCTTCTAGGTATCACCGACCATGAGCCTTTCCTTTTTCAAAAAAGCACAAGCAGCATGCTAGAGGACGAGAGGTCTTTTCCAAGCCCTTCTCCTGTGCTGAAGAGGATCTCTGAGGCTTCTCCAAGATTTGCCTTCGTAACATATCCAGGAAATGCTCCCTCTGTTCTCCTGGGAATGGAGAAGGGTGAGGAAGTAGCATTTTGTTGAACGGAGTTTGTCTCAGGTGCCATCAAATTACGCTGGGTTAAAAACAAGCAGCCACGCATGCTATGCCTCCGATCATATAGCAATATCCTCAGTTTGCTTGTCACTGAGTGCCCCAGCTCGTATCGGCCATACGTAGCTCCAGCACGTGAATTGAGAATGCTCCCTTTTGCCCTGTTCTGCTGTAAATAGTATGTTCTGATCCGTTTCCTATCCTTTCATTGCTCTCAAGGAAGACAAGACTTTGGAATAGGTTTTGGGAGCTGATCAGCAAGAGGGAAGGTTGTGCTCCTGTGCCTGTATGTATTCTGTACAAACAATATGTCGACATGCTGTACTAGCAGGAAACTGACATATTACTGGAAGCTTTTTGAGCTTCTTTTATGTCTTTCTGATGTACTGTACTTAATATGCAGAATCACTACTGATCAATTTTATGTCATTCTGTGAAGGAATTCTGAAATAGCCTGTCCTGTCTCTTAAGCGGAAAAAAACCCCACACATTTTTATCATTTTACAATAGACAACAATCTCTCCACCTCTGTAAAAGCAAAAAAAACTTCCAATGCTCTTTTTTTTCAAACGTTCGGTCTGTGTAACAAGAGGCTGAGATGAAGCAGCGGCATGGAATATGTTGTCTGTTGTTTTTTAAAAAAACCACGTCTTCCTCTTTTTAAAAACAAACAAAACATTCTGAAATGAGAATGGAACTTGCCTTTTCTGAATTATGTAGCAAAACTCGTAGACATTTCTAAATTCAGTATGCTTGAAAAAGGTTTAAAACTGGCTTTTAAAAAAGGAGAAGAAAACGAGCAAATATTCTATTCAACTTCTGTTAGATTTTATAGAATGGTTCAGGATGGTGCTTTGAGCTGCCAGTCGGATGTAAGGTGTGTGTCATTAGTCTAAGATGTAAATGGAATATGAGAAAAATGTTGTGTGTGTTTGAATAGGTGGCTCTGTTTCATCACCAATTTGCCTATATGTCACATCTCACTTCAGTGAATCACATTTGTAGAATGTGACACCATATCAGTGGCTAGCGGATACAAGCAAGGACGAAGAAGATACCCCATTCAATTCAGTGCCTCTTAATTTTGAGAACAGATCTTTACATATTTATGCAGTCCCTGCCTCCCCAGCTGTCCAGCCGTCTGGTGACCAGATGGAAGGGAAGGGTATATCTTTTAGTTGCTGCATACAAGGGTTCTCAAACTTTGGTCTTCAGATATTATAGGTTTCGTCACCCAACAAACATAACCTGTGTGGCCAAGGATCAGGAACTCCAGGAACTGAATTCCAAAGCCCCTGGAGGGGCCAAATGCTGAAAATCACTGGAATGGAAGATGGATTTTCAGTAAGCATTAGGTTGGATCTGACTAATTCAAGGGTGCAAAATCTTTGGCCCTTCAGATGTTTTGGACTTTGACTCCCAGAATCCCATAGGTTCAGCCATGCAACCGGGAATTGGCAGGCCAGAACATGCGGAATGCCAGATTCTTCCTCCTCCTCTGGCTGAAATAGATTTGTACCCACTGCAATCAATGGGACTTTCTGACCATTGTCTCATTGGGACAGAAGGTGATTCACTTCATCTTGATCCAATCCCCTGCTGTTTCCACATAAGACTAGAACAAAAACATGTTGACGGCTAGAATACTGTTGTTGCTTCTGGCCATCTTACTTTGGAGCTTAGGGAGCTGAGACATCACAATATTAACGGCTGTCTTTACATTCCTTTCCCATCACTGTTGGCCTTTTGTTTTCTTTCTCCCTCTGCCCCCTTCACGGAGATGGAAAAAGTTACTTTTTTTGGATTACAGCTCCCAGAATACCTCAGCCAGTACTTCAGGGATGTTCTGAGAGCTGCAGTCCAAAAAAGGAACATTTCAGTCTCTGACCCTTTATGTACATGAGCTGTGATTTAGTCATAATATTTTTCCATAGGATGAAGAAGAGGAATTTCACCATTGTCTTCTACTAGCAATTTTTAATAAGGATGCAAGAAAAGAAGCGGGCATGGTTGACTGTGGTGGGTGCTGCTGCACTCTGGATGTGAATTGCTAGATATGATTTATGCGTGGTGTATAAAATCTTTGTAGAGGAAATCATTGGATTGTATATCTGCCTATCAACAAAATTTTATGGAATAAATTTTTTTTAGAAAAAAAGGTTGCTCATAATTTATTTATTTACTACTTCTAGCTGTAGTGCATCTTTCATGAGTTACATCTTAGGCAGTATTTTCTTCTTTAGAAAAAAAAGTTTTTCTAGCTTCACAAATGTCTTGTCAGGCATCCTGTGATTTAAAAGAAAAAAGGAAAGGAAAAGCAGACAATTCCAAAATGTATTTTGCTCCTTGCTTATACCTGACATATTAAGTGCTGGATAGCTCAGTGGTTTAAGTGTCTGGCAGCAGAGCTAGACGCTGGGGGTTTGATTCCCCACTGGGCCTCCCTGACAGGGGTGGGACTTGATGATCCATACTGTCCCCTTCCTTGCAGATCTAATACGTATTATGATATAGATATTAAGCCACTGCACAATGTGGCCAAATCAAAAACGGAAGGCTTTGGGTTTGTTACCAAGAATCACACATGCTGAAAATAGACCAAAAAAGAGCAATTCTACCCGACACAGAAAAACTGAAGCCCGACAGGAGCCAGAAAGGTGCAGGTAGGTCCACTCCAGGAATGGGCTCATTTGCTCCAATACCAAGAATCACACATGCTGAAAACAGACCAAAAAAGAGCAATTCTATCCGACACAGAAAAATTGAAGCCCCTGACAGGAGCCAGAAAGTTGCAGGTAGGTCCACTCCAGGAATGGGCTTGTTTGCTCCAGCAAAGGCATTGTCTGCTCCCAATTTTTAGCATCAAACCAGCTAAAAATTTGTTTGGTTCACTGTTTGTAATGAACCAAACAGCAGGCTAAATGCCTATATACTCAGCCTTATCCTAAAGGAAAGTAACTCAGGGGTGTGAACTGCAACAGGAGCAGCTGAAGAATACGGTCTCCACAAACTCCATCCTCATTTGATACAGAGTAGCCCCACTGGAATAAATCCAGGCTGACATGTTGTGCACTAAGAAGCCTTGATCTCTACTTAGGACTTCAAGACGCCCTAGAAGTTGTTCATGTGCTCAGTTTCCACAGCCTCCCTCTATGGTCTGTTATTTGTATCCTCACTACCATGGGGATGTGCATAAATGTAGAGGGCATGTATTTGTTCTCCAAGAAAGAAAAAAAAACAGCTGAACATTCGGACCGAACATAAATGTTAGCTAACTGCACGAAAACAAAGGGGAAAGACCCCACGTGGCCCTTGTATACAACCTCGTCTGCAAACTTTCACCCCTGCGCATGCGCCAACGGCCTTCCAAGAACCCACCCGATATACGTCAAATCCCATCGCGAAGTCCCGGGGAGGCCTTGCTTTACGCATGCGCACCAGTCTCCCTTTCCTTCAGCGAGGGGGTATTCTCTAATGGAATCTTCCATGTCAGCGGAAAAGCGCGTAACACGTTTTAAATAGCGGTGAACTCTTTGTTTTAAACGGCCATGACGTACTCAGAGCAAGTCAAAAATATACTAGGCTAGTCTCCTTCATTTGGATATTCATTAGTTCTGATGTCACTCTAAAACCGCCACCCCTGCCCAAAGGAAAAGCTCAAACGGCATGGGCGGGCGCGTGGGTTTGGCGCATGCGCCTTCCCTCAAAACGACTTTTTCCCGTCGTCCTCTGCGTGCTATAAATGTTCGCGCGACGGCGGTTTTTTTGTTTTCGCGTCCTGAGACGTCGGTTGGTGAGTTTGCGGCGTTGCTGTTTGCAAACGGTGTAGTCGTCCAGCTGTGCGAAGAACAGGGTGAGAGCTTCACGTTACCCATTAAAGTTGGAATTTAGTTAGTGTTGCTAAACTTTATATAATAATTTGTTTTATTAAAAAAGCTGGGCAGACCTGGCCGGGGCAGGAACTCCCTTTCTTCGTAGCGGCTTTAAAGTATTGCCTGTTGGTTGAGGGAGATCTTCTCCTGAGGAGGGAAAAAAAGGGGGGGGAAGGCAAGGCAAAGGAAAGCGGCGCGGTGCTGGAGTGGGGGGAGTTTAAAAATCGTTATCAGCAGGCCTGGCCAATGCATGCTGCATTTCTTACATTAAAAAGCCAGAGTGTTTTCTTTAAACAAAAATTGCAAATGTCTTCCTTTTCTTTCTTCTTTTTTTTTCAAAATCTGTTGTTATTGGTAGAAATTCAAAAGAAAGAAGATCCTTGGTTACCTGCCCATGAATGGGTTTTGCGGGGGAGTTTAAAAATCGTTATCAGCAGGCCTGGCCAATGCATGCTGCATTTCTTACATTAAAAAGCCAGAGTGTTTTCTTTAAACAAAAATTGCAAATGTCTTCCTTTTCTTTCTTCTTTTTTTTTCAAAATCTGTTGTTATTGATAGAAATTCAAAAGAAAGAAGATCCTTGGTTACCTGCCCATGAATGGGTCTTGCATCTAGAGCAGTGTTTCCTTATAGCAGCAGTCCCCAACCTCGGGTCCCCAGATGTTCAGCAACTTCCAGAAATACTGGGCAGCACACCTAATGGTGAAGGTTTCTGGGACTTGGGGACCCAAGGGTGGAAGCCATTGCCTTACAGAGAAAATGTTGCTTCCTTGAGGTTGACGTGAGATCCTCCCCATATTGTTAAAGTCCAGACCACAGCCTTTGTTAGGCTTGCTATGGCTGATGGGATTTCTTTATTCTTCTTTATATTCATTCAATGGGGATACCTTGAGAGTTTGTGCTCTCCAGCTCTGTTCATGTGGCGTGTGGGAGTGTAGGCCTTTGCGCTCTGTGACATATAGTCCCCTTCCACACCATTGGAGAGAAAGCCGGGCCCTGAGGTCTGCAGCCTGCATATTCCTAATTCTTCTCCAAGTCTTTGGGCTGTGATGGAGGAGATAAACCATGCAGGAGACACTATTCAGCAAAGTTGGTAGTTGTTGCTATCATGGTATTCCTTATAGATAACAGCTAAAATTTATGTAGTTCCAGTGGTTGCGAGTCGCAGTTCTCTGGAGCTCTTAATACAGCCTGACTGCTGGGCCCCTTTCCTTGTGATACCACTGCTGGATCACTTTAATGCTTTTGTTTTCATTTTTCCATTCTGAAATGTCTCTTTAATACTTTGTTAAGAGTTTTAAGTTAGTATAGCTTCGGATTTGGTGCTGGCCATTTTGCCTGTGTCCCTGGAATATGGCTTCCAACATATGAGGCAGAAGGGCTCGGACTCCCTCTAAAAGTTCTCCAGAATATTAGGCCTCAAAGGAAAAACCAGAATCTTGCGGCTGCCCTCAAGTATAAAGTTTAATTTCAACGTGACCCAGAAAGATACTTTGTACCCTTAATCCACTGGTTATCCTTTCTAGTCCCAAATTAAATACTGTATACTGTATGTCCACAAGCGTATTATTCTATTTACTGTATTTAATAAACAAAAGCAAGTAAAACTTAAGGGAATATCAAGTATAAAGGGATCTAGAAAGTTGCACTGTAAAACTTAAAAATGAATGCAAC